GGTATATTTTTGTTAAAAAATACAGTTTATAATTAAAACAATAAAAGTTTAATAATTTAAAAAAAATATATTTTCACCAAAATTGTCGTTTTATTAAAACAAGAAGTTTCCAAAATTAAAACAAAAATGGTAAATGCTGAAAACTTCATATTGTATTTTATAAAATGATTAGAAATAAAAAATCTAAAGATAAGTATAAAAATCGTATTGTTTTGTAAAATGTCAAACATAAATATTAAGTTAAATCAGCGTATTTATTTTATAGGAATCGGTTTCAGATAGTTAGAAGGAAATTATGAAATGCGGGATTTGTAAAAATAAATTTCCTAACACAAAAATTCGAAGAATATCTAAAAAATAATTCTGCTTGCGATCAGTTAACTTGTGACGTGTCTCTAAAACAATTAACAACAGTTTATAATGTAATAAAAGTGATTATTCAACAATAACTATTGCAACTTTGATCAGACAGGAAAGAAAACATTTATCATAAATTTCATGAAAATTTAATCATTGCAATTTCTCTAAGAACCGGAAATTGTTTGAACTCTCATACCTTATTAACACAAGGAAAAATTGCCTTGTAATGACGAAATATATACTGCACTTCGAAAATTTCATTCTAAACAATTTTAATCTAGAAGTATATAAATTAACAATATTTAAAATGTTTATCTAGAATTTGCTTCTAATTTTATTATAACAATTTACTTTTGCAAATGTTCAGATAACCTGTGTGTTTTTAACATTTTTTAGTCTGTCTTCTTCTTTTAATTTAGATGCAATCATAAAAATTTAATTGTTTGGACCTGAGAGGCTCATTCCTGGACTTCGGAGTGTCTCTTATTATCGCGCCTTAACTATCTGCTGTTTTTTTTCTAACTCGGAGGTTTGTCCGACAAAACACATCTGGNCTGAAGATTATAGAACGTGCGTGGTTCGAATTACCGTTGAGAAAGTTCAAATTTTTAAAATATTTTACATCAATCCTGAAGAAGGTCTATAAATTAGACCGAAAACGTTAGAGAACTGACAAAAGTAGACTGCATTTTAAAGGTATAGTGAAATGTAGCAATCCTGAAGAAGGTCTATAAATTAGACCGAAAACGTTAGAGAACTGACAAAAGTAGACTGCATTTTAAAGGTATAGTGAAATGTAGTAATTAATGCAGTTAGAGATTTAGTAATTGATAGAAAGTACATTTCAAATTGATTAAAAATCCTCGGTAAATCTCAATAATAGCTCGATATATACAATTAGAGCTCAATCGTTTTTAAGATGAATGATTTAAAAAAACCCGAAATTCTTAAGAGTTCGCGAGTCTGTAATTTAATTCCAAGCTTGTAAAAATTCGATAGGGCATGTAAAACATCTTTTCTAAATATCGAGATAAAAATTTTGTAAGATTATCCTCTCTTTTGAATCGTGCACAACGTGCAGAAGGCAATAAATCAGTTAATAATAATTAAATAATAATAAAAACTCAGAAATTATTAAGTCTACATTTACTAAGATCGTGTGTACTATCTACCATACAAATGCCGAATACCTAACACATCGTATAAAACTGATGAAATAAAATCTATATTTTTCTATTTCAATAGAAAATTTAAAAACTAGAGTTAAATATTAAAATGTAAGGATGAAGAATCCGCTTATTGTTATCACAAATACTTTAATTAGTGTTTAATTTTACTAGATCTAGTAGTTTCTAAAACATTGTAAACTAATAATAATAATCAGAAATAAGACATATTTAACCTGAAGATTTATTAATTCTTTTAACGTGTCCTTTTAACGCTTATTAAAATAAATATTAGAATTTCTTCAAACTGTAGTCTATTTATTCCATTTAATGTTATAATTCAGGTTTACTACTAGCATTGACAAGTTCTAAAGTAACTACAATAAGCAGATTTTATTATATATTTTAAAAATAAATTCCAATAACATACTAACGTAGAGCATACATGCATAAGTCTAATATAAATGTTTAAAATATAACAATTGCCAACTATAAGTGTTTAGCACTGTCAAGAGCAGTTTTAATAGTTTGTCGCGCTATTTTCACGTTGTAGCATTTTTCAAAAGCTAAAATGCTAAAATTTTACAAAGTACAAAATTTTATTCTAAAGTACTAAATTTGCTCATAGACTCCGTTATGATAGATTAAAATGAGATCAGTGGCGGATCCAGGACAACCCAAACGGATCTTTTATTAACAAGTGCAAGACGATTGTATTGCGGTTGGTCCGATAAACCATATTTGCCGCCATAATGTTTTTATAAACTGTTTTAAAGTTTGAACAAATAAAGTTTAGTTTTTTTTTTCTTGTGAATGGCTCAAGCATTTATAAGCTTCGTGAATCTGTCCTTAATTGAGATCAAGTATAGTCAGTATTATTATTTACGGTTATCATTACCATAGTATTTCGAGTGGTTAACGTATTGTGTTCAACTGTTTACTACTGGTATAGTGTTATTTTATTTTATTGAGTGTTATGCTTTATTTATCTATAACTGCACGTTATGTCAGTGATATCAGCATTCAGAAGCAAAAAATAATTAATTTTGTATATTGTAGTGGCTGTAATTTTAGCCCAATAAATATACGAATTAATTATGATTTTATGTGACCAGTGTTTTCTTTTCGTTAGCGGTTTTTCTCCAAATCTTATTTATCATAATTGCCAACTTTCCGGAAAGGAAAGTTCTCCAAATCTTAGAGAACTTTCCTTTCCGGAAAGTTGGAAATTATGATAAATATATAAATAATTCACATTCATTAAATACTAGGAATACTACTATACTCCTATTCAATGAATTAGTATTCATTGAATAGAAGTATAGTAGAGTAGTTAGCGTTGTCCAGGAATTAGACACATTATGTATTACTGTACATAATCGTTAAACATTACACTGTTGTAATATCGTTAAACATCAACGAATTGTTCTAATTCGTTAATTATTTGTTTTGTAAAAAATTTAACTTCGATTCTTTAAATGAGTAAATAAATCTCAAATGAGTTTGTTTCCTTTGTTTTAAATGTTGAAAGTTTCGAAGAGTTAATTCACTAATCAGGGGCGTCGAAAGGGGTCGCGACCTGGCGGAAAAATTGACATGTTCCAAGTAAAAATCGCAATATCTAAATATTTTTAAAGTTGGGGCAATTTTTTCTCTTCTCCGAAATAATTTTCAGTATCGTCTCACAGTTTATTATCGCACAAAATAACAAATTGTGGAATGATATCCAGGTCCCTGTGAATCCCGAGTCAAGGAGTTTTACTTCATCTCTCTCTCTTGTCAGTCCTGTCCAGACCTCTTAGCAACATCACTATTATAATATACTTCTGTACGCCATCTAATATTTTTCCTATTCTTATAAACTGCATTGATTGGGCTGCAATTTGAAAAACTTGTAGACCTATAAATTCCCACTGTTTGTCGGTCTTCCTGCCTTTCCTCCATCTCAAGAACATACATAGATGAAAGACGAGATATCATGAACCTGCGAGATAGGAGATCCCGGTTAACTGTATATAAAAGTCCTACGCAAACCGGAAGCCATGTTATTTCAATATTTCAATTCAGAAATTTTCTTCTGAAAGGAGTTTGATAGATTGACTGTATTGCTGATGGAAAGGTATGATGTATATTTCCATGACTGTATTGCTGATGGAAAGGTATGATGTACCTTTCCATCAGCAATACAGGGGCAAGATACTACTAATTTGAGGTGAAGAGCATATGTTTAAATTAAAAAATTATTTTAGTTACGATTAAAAAATTATAGCCCGGCCCGGTATTGTGACGATGTCACAATTCGTAATTGCTCGTTTAGCTTCTTTTTGTTTTTCTCCATTATCATTCTCTCATAAAATAAACTTTAGAGTAGTAACACAATATAATAAGCGAACGCATGAGCGATATTTTAATCACTTTTTTCTGACTCTATCTCAATACTTTCATACTAAATTAATGACTAGTGAAGTAATTTATTAAAATTAATTTTTTTAAGTAAAAAAATTACATGTTTCATTTCACATCTTTTGTTTTTTTAAACATTAATAACTATAATAAACCACTGGTAAGGGCTCTTGCTACACTTTACCCCCCCGCACTCGAACAGGAGGATTAGGAAGTCTGTAATTTTTTAATTATACTATGATACCGTATAAAATTTAAATGCTAACAAAAGCTTAAAGGGATAATTTTGTTAAATTATGATAAATTTCTCTTTTTAACAACATTAAGATACAAAAACTAAAAGCTAAATTGTGTATGTGGCGCTATCTGTTATGAGATTTTATTAAACAATAATTTTTATATTATTAATTATTATAAGATATCAAAAGGATTAATTTTAAGGATAGAGATGAATTTTCGAAAAATCGTAAGTGCCTATAACTAATAAAATTTTTATGACAAATGTTCATTTCCATTTCATTGTCTGGCTCAAGGTATGATACATGACTTCCCTCCATCTCCTTGCCAGTGACTTTATACCTTGACACCGGAAATGTCTAAACGTCGAGAAATGCAAAAAAGGGATGTTGAAATTTGACCAAACATCATACTTTTCCTGTTATATTTTATACCAACCGGGAAAGTAAACATAAAAAATGTAAGCTTAGAATTATTTACATAAAAATTGAACATTTCCATCATATAATTTCTTGTAATAAAAAATATTAAACACAAAATGATTAAATAGTAGAAAGCATTATAAATTATATTTATTTGATAACATAAATCTTTTTAAAAAATTTATTAAGCTGATATTTTAATAAGAAGCTTATTGATATAACACAGACCTTTTTATAATTATAACATTTTATGATGCAACATAACGTAGACATTTTACGATTATAAACGACCGCGGTAAAAGCAAATATTACGGTAATTATCTATTTTCATAAAATGTTTTCTATTGGAAGGTTGGCTGTACTGCCAAAGTATATATAAAACGTAATTTATTTTTAAAATTAGTATAAAAGACAGTTAACGAGCAGAAACTCAAACAATAGGTAAAACTGAAAATATAACGTTTTATTTCCTTTGGTAATTTACTTCATTTAATTAATAACTTTTTACTTGTTTCTTAAATTTTCTCTTTACTTTGTGTTTTCTTTAGTTCGATTATTTTACCATCTGCAATTCAAATTTCAAGCATAACAGTAACTCAAATCTGAATTGTTATTAAAATTAGTGTTTATTTCGCAGATTAATTCGTCATCAATTAGTGAATATGAAGATCTATATGCTGTTTGCAATAATATTTGTTCTCTGTTTATTTGGTAAATATCTACTAATGTTTTCTTTTACCTTATCTTTTATATAATATTAGAGTATTTAATTAAAAATAATTTAATTATAAATTGCGAACAAGCCACAAATTTTTCTATTTTCTGTGTTTTTATAGAATATTTAACTATCATTACGATATAAGAAACTTTTAACGTTAATTTAATGGTTTTAGAATGAAATTTCTTGAAATTCCTAACCTATTTAATATTGCAGAGATAGAAGAAATATGTGGTAAAAAAGAAGGAGGTTATCCAAGATATTTCAGTTTTGGATACAAATGTCAGAGATGGGGAGTGAACGAATACTGCCAGGATGTTTGCAAACTTCATAAAGGAGGCTATGGATATTGTTATGGAGGAGAATGCTATTGCGAAGGTTTAACTGATGAAACTAAATACTTTTGGGATGTTTATAGAAAATATTGTAAAAATTCTCTCGTTAATTAATATTCGTGTTTCCTGTAATTGGTGGAAGAATTATTATTTTGAATGTAAAGGAGAAATATTCAATGAAATTAGTAAATATTAATAAATAATAATATTAGTACAATTCATGTGTGGAGATTAAAGCTTTCAGGTTGATATACAAATACTCATACGTTTAGAATTTTCTTTATTATATCGCTACCGAAATTAATTATTTCTATTTATAATCTGAATTTATATGACAACTTGTATAGCTAATCTAAGAATTTATTTCATTACAACGAAACTTGAATTAAGATGATAAAATTATCGAGTATTTCAATTTATAAAAAATTTGCGAAAGATCAGATTTTTGCTATTATTAGAAAAGTCAAATTTTGTACAATAAAAGGAACTATTGGGAACGAAGTCTATTTTAAACACGCGTTCATAATATTATCAAATAAAAACTTTTTATGAATGATTTTAATAAAAATGGAAATCGAAGATAAATTCACGTTCATTTTTAATGACTTCGTAAAGAAGAAAAATAGGTTTAATTTGTTGGCAAGTGCGACAGATATGTAAATAGCATCACTATATAATTATTTACGTATTATATAATAAATATAATACTATATATTTACACTTCGCGAGTAAAAGAAGTAGACGAGTAAAAAAAAGTCGCGAGTATTCACTCGCGAGCGAGTGAATACTCGCGACTTAGACTACAGAAATCCTCAATTCCATCTTTTCGAAGTCTGCGCTAATTATAAAAAATTCAGTGATTTTGTAAAATTAAATAGGAATAATAGTAGAAGTGATCTTTTCGATATTGCTAAATTCTTAATGTATTTAAATTGTTTGTGTATTAACATTGTGAGCCCACTATTTCATCCCCCTCCAAATTTTTGTTGTTATTGTATATATATATATAATATGTATATTTGTGAATTGTTATTTACATTATCTGTAAAATTTTGGTTTTAATCACTTTATTTTAATCTTTTTGCCAATAATATATTTGCTTTAATTAATCAGAAATTTTATTTTATTTTAAACTTTATATGTATTTTATATTTTTTTACTTTGTTCTGTCTGATTGGGTAAAGAACAACTGTTAGCTATCAGACAGATGCCCTTTGGACCCACATCTCGAAGATGCGTATGTAAGCGCACCGAGATTGTTTGTCTATCAACCAACGTTGAAGAATTTCGCCTATTTTTCCGATTTTAGGGATCCCCTTTCCAAACTTTTAATAATATCGATTTAAAATAATTTAGAGAAACAAATTACAATAAAAAATTATCAATTAATTGTTATAAATCTCACAACATGCGAAGGAAAAGATGAGGCGATGACCGTCGTTTCCGCCTTTTTCGATGGTGTTGGGTGACCGATGATATGCTATCCATGTCACATGGACACATATTATTCTTCACTGACAAGAGAGAAAAAAACTACAGGATAACCAATCATGCTTTTTACAAATTACTTCATCTTCTTCCGGAACAAAAGCATGATTGGTCAAAAACAAAGAATAAAAGAGAAAGAAATGACGAAATCGTCGGACTGGATTAAGTGACTGGATTTAATGACAAAACTGAACTGATTGACCGGACGGGAGACGACCGACTTAGCGACGGACCTAGTGAACGATCATTGAAGGACCAGGTAAAGGAGAAAGAAGATGAAAAGGACAAGAGCACAGAGAGAGAAAGTAAAGAAAGAAGAGAAGGCAACTCTTTTCCTGGTATGTTGTGAATCGCGCAGTTCGGATACTCCCCACTAGGTACCCCACCGTTTTATAGATAGAAGTAGGCCAACTTCTTAAATCGGAATTTATAGATTTGTTTTTATATTTTGTTTTTGATAATAAACTCTCTTTTTTATTTGTACTTGACTTTGCATTCATTCTCCTGAGAGGCTCATTCCTGGACTTCGGAGTGTCTCTTATTATCGCGCCTTAACTATCTGCTGTTTTTTTTCTAACTCGGAGGTTTGTCCGACAAAACACATCTGGTGGCAGGGCCCTACCTTAAACTTGCATAATCAAATTTTTGAAGGCCTGAGCCCCACTACGTCTATCCGCATTACGTATTTAATATTATAATGAAACTTGAAGACTGATAACACCAGAAATCGATGATGTAAAGATAGACTTCGATATAATTTCGACATTACTTTTTTATTTCATAAATACATCGATACATAATAGAAAGTTTGCTGATTGCTTATGTCATATTATAGAGTGCTACCAATATATAAGGAAAGGAAATAAAACAGATATTGTTAATTATCGTCCAATAGTTAAAGCCTTAATATATGAGGCTTTAACTATTGGACGATATCGTTTCCTATTTTAACATAAACGAGTTAATTCAAAAATATCATTTAATTCAGTGAAATCAGTTTGGATTTACTCTGAAGATCTACTGAAGAGGCTTTGAATCAAAACAAGCATTATATCGTTTCAAATCTGGATAAATCGATTATTATGTCTACAATATTTGTTGATTTACGATAGGTTTTTGATATGATTAATAATTTAATATTAATATTTTTTTAGAGTAATTCCTGAAATACCACAAGGTTCTTGTTATTGTATCAAATGTATATAAATGATTTACTTAAACTCATTGTTTTAGAAAATTATTTTCATTTTGCTTTCTTTAATAAATTAAGATTTTATTGTAATATACATGAAAGATTTCTAAAATTTTTGGTAGTGACCAAGAGAAATCTAAGTGAGGATGTATGTACAGATTATTATGGCGTAAATATGTTATTGTTTTTCATTTTTATATAAAAAGTAATAGAAAAGTCTAACAAATGGAATTGCACAATATATATATATATAGTTTTAGTTTTAAGCAATTTATAAAGCAGAAACACATGAATCTGTTCTATAGAATAACTTTATTCTGATTAAGTATCGACTATAGAAATGACAGAAAACGTTAGGCAAGATAACAAACAAAGAATGAAAGGAAATTAGAGTGTCTAATCTTTTCCAAATTTTAAGAAAATTCTTCGATCAAGTAACAGTTCTCTAATAGCACAAAACATGAAAATACATTTACGATGAATTTCAACACATCTGGTATTAACAATGAGAAAAGTGATTAGAATGTAGTCACAATAGAGAAACTGTTTTAAATGTAATTATTGTTTGAAAAAACTAAAGTAAAAAATCAACAGTCATTGGTTCAATGTGTATGAATTGAAAAGAAATAAACAAAATATTGTTATATAATTAATCATTTCTCAAAATTACTGAAAACTGTAAGAGAACTTAATCAAAATTACAATATTTCGCATATTTTCATTTGTTTAATTATTAAACAACAGCATTTAAAATTCACATAACTGATTATTACCGTAATAAACATTAATGAAGATCAAATTGTTTAAATAATTCATTTTAGTTGTTAGGGTTTTTCAAAATGTTTCAGAGATTAAAATGATTAACACTTTTCGAACTCATTTTTAAAAATTTTGAACACATAAAATGCTTTTAATCGGTTAATAGTTAGTTAAATAGATTTGAATTTAATATATTTTCATATTTCGGTTTACATTTAAAACAAAATTCTGTATTTATTTTGTATACAAAGCTGTAATCAAAATACTTTTATATGGATTATTCATATAAATATTTATAAAGTTGTTTTATTAATATTTCGACTATATTAATCTAAAATATTTCCAATGGTATATTTTTGTTAAAAAATACAGTTTATAATTAAAACAATAAAAGTTTAATAATTTAAAAAAAATATATTTTCACCAAAATTGTCGTTTTATTAAAACAAGAAGTTTCCAAAATTAAAACAAAAATGGTAAATGCTGAAAACTTCATATTGTATTTTATAAAATGATTAGAAATAAAAAATCTAAAGATAAGTATAAAAATCGTATTGTTTTGTAAAATGTCAAACATAAATATTAAGTTAAATCAGCGTATTTATTTTATAGGAATCGGTTTCAGATAGATAGAAGGAAATTATGAAATGCGGGATTTGTAAAAATAAATTTCCTAACACAAAAATTCGAAGAATATCTAAAAAATAATTCTGCTTGCGATCAGTTAACTTGTGACCTGTCTCTAAAACAATTAACAACAGTTTATAATGTAATAAAAGTGATTATTCAACAATAACTATTGCAACTTTGATCAGACAGGAAAGAAAACATTTATCATAAATTTCATGAAAATTTAATCATTGCAATTTCTCTAAGAACCGGAAATTGTTTGAACTCTCATACCTTATTAACACAAGGAAAAATTGCCTTGTAATGACGAAATATATACTGCACTTCGAAAATTTCATTCTAAACAATTTTAATCTAGAAGTATATAAATTAACAATATTTAAAATGTTTATCTAGAATTTGCTTCTAATTTTATTATAACAATTTACTTTTGCAAATGTTCAGATAACCTGTGTGTTTTTAACATTTTTTAGTCTGTCTTCTTCTTTTAATTTAGATGCAATCATAAAAATTTAATTGTTTGGAGACTAATTATTGTGCAAACTTTATGTATATTGAATAATGTTAGATTTAGGTTACACAATTCTAAAATAACTTGTCAGATACTGTGAATCAAACAATACTCTCTACATCTGCTCCAATGTATGAATTAATATTTATTGCAAATGAATAACAGTTATGTAAAAGCAATCAATTCGTATCTGTGTTGTTTTTATATTTATTTTATCTTGATGAATAATGTTGTTTTTTAAAATAAAAACAAATATTTCAATTTCCACGAAACTGAATGCTTTTAATAATACAAGGTTAAAATTTCAAGGATTATGAGCGAGAAACTATATATATATATATATAGGGGAGACCGGGGCAAGATCGGCATGTTAAGCTTTACTTAAATTTTGTGTAATAAATACTGCTGTAAACTGAAAAAAAAAGCTTTGCATATTGTCTATTGGAATGTTACCTTACTATAGAACTGGTTAAAATCAGTTTGGAAATAAAAATAATTAAAATAATTACAACTTTACAAGAAGAGAGAAATTGACGAAGTTGCCCCGGGTATAGGGGCAAGATCGGCAACTTCTCTCTTTTTGTAAAGTTGTAATTATTTTAATTATTTTTATTAAAGTTGCCCCTGGTATAGGGGCAACAGTAATGGGGCAAGATAGGCACGTATATAAAATTATGTT